GCTACCTTTTCTAGATATTGTCTTTCACTGGCTGCAATATTTTGCATTGTTTATCTGCACTGATGGCTAGACCCCATCTTGCATGGAGACTGGTGTTTGTTATTTTGGGGCATAGATAACCATGATTCTAATTACACTGAAAACACATATAAACTGCACATGTGAAAAATATGGACCTGGACTTCATTTAAAAAAATAATTAAAAACCTCAAACCCTCCCATCCTTACAAAAGGCTAATCAAACTGCTTGTTTCAAAGTGGAAATGGTGAGCTAAAGGATGTGAAATCCTTGGAGTGAAGAAAGTGGTGAGCAAACTTACAGCACAGAGATGGATTTCAGAGGAACAATGAGCTTGGAGAGGAAACTCTAAAAAAATTAGAAGAGGTAACTGGGCTTGGCTGACACAACCAGTTTTCTTTAAACTTGGACACTGGAAAGCAAGCAACTATAAAGAGCAGTCTCAGCTGAGGTGATTAATTTTAATGGTTGTACATAGCCTCAGAGAAAACTGCTCCTACATGCATTTGTCTGATGTCTATTTTTCTTGTTTTGACTGGAGAGGACATGGGTTAGAACAGGCATGGTAAATAAAGTTTAGCATTGCAGCACCATACACAGGTATTTTTAAAGTTTTTCTTCACTCATCAAACACCTTCATGACAAAAGCAAACAAGGAAAAACACGAGATGACATTTGGCAGCACGGGCCCTATTATGATGCAAACCAGCTTTCTTACTCTGCACAGAAAGAACTCACTAGTTTTGAAGGCACACATTTCCCAGCCTTTTTATCTAGCTGACTTCCAAGCCTCAGAGAGATGGTGAGCACCTTTCCTAGAAGCTTCCTGCCCTACAGCCCCCACTCACTGATGTCCATTCTAACCTTCCCATCAGCTCCTTCCCTGTTACCAAATGGCAACACTGAAATAAATTGCTTCACAATAGAAAAAATATATCATAAACAGCAAAGGCTTCACTTATGAGAAAAGAACATTATGATTACATAGAAGTAACCATATAATCTGTTATTAATTATAAGGCTCAAAACTTCATTAATATCTCAATTATATCACCTCTCCAGATTATATAATAAAACAGCATAATGAGCTTCAGTTTAACTTGACAAGGCTGAATACTGCTCCTCTTTTTAAAAAGTTTTTTATAAAATTATATTCTCTCCTAATACTTTGACTTGCAAGCACTCTAAAGACACCATGTACAACATTAAAAATAAACTTCATTTTCCTACCACTCTTGCTTATCACTACCACAGTATTCACAAGATTTTCTTTTTAAAGACATCAGCTTATACAAGCGTCTTCTTGTGACAATAGGTGCAATACCATTTGCAACACTTCTAAGGACTAAATATATATTTTTATATATTTGTATATTTGTTATGGTTCCCCTAACTTTTTAATTAATCTGTTCTCAGTTCTGGGACGACATGAAAATATTTCAATCTTATCTTTAATAAGAAGATGCTACAAGGAATGAGCTTGCTTTGCCAATGGGTCATGAAGAGCCCAAACCTTTATTATCTGTCGCACAGTGAAGATACATGCAATTACTGCAACTATTTACTGAAAACACACTTGCTAATACCGTAACTGGCAGCAACACACTGTGCTGGGTGCTGGCCGGTGCCAAGGCAGCTGCCAAAAAGCTACGAGTCTAAAAATGGGAAATTAGAGGATTAAACTATCATTCCTGTTTCCAAGAATAAAGTACTCTAAATGAGCAAGTCACTTGCTAGGTAATAATTTTCTGGTGTTTATATGGTAAACTTCTGTAAAGCGAATTGCTGTTGGCATTGCCAGAGTTTACAAAGCAAAGGTACTTGCCAAAAGGCAGTGTCACTGGAAGTATTGTTCAAGTAAACATGGAATGGAAAGTTATTAAGCAAAATGAACAGCTAATTTTGCCATGATCATATCAGGAACATTGAGTATTTTCACCTAAACTTCAGAACCTGAGGTACAAAAGAGCACACAGTGATCACGGGAAATTCAGCAGCACGTAGAACAGAATCCTGGCTATAGTACATGAAGGAATGGGGTTATTTTTGCCAACGGAAAAGAATAACACGTCTCCAAAGCAGACTGTTTTCACTAATGTTGTCAGAGAACTACATCTTTAGTCTAGATGTGCATGAATACATATGCACTTAGTGCTCAAGGTCACACTTCCCTCTTTTCATTTCTTTTGCAGATTAAACAGGAAAATAGGAAAGTATTCAGCTTAAGTTTTCTTCATCCAAGTAGCTCAATAGTTGGTTTCCTTTCGAAATACCTTTACCCAGAAAACCACTTGTGTAGTGGTGTGATCGATGGGATCAGTGAACACACATGTGCACAATAAGTGAGCAGAAGGAACTCAGCTGATGTCCCCAATAATACATCATGCAAAAATAAGATTCTGTCCCCAGTTACATATATTTCATAAACACTGTAAACTAGTATTCAGAAAAAAGTTCACAGGTTCATTGGTCACAGATGCGCATGAGATACTTTGTGACCTGAGCTGTTCTTATGCCAAAACCTGCCTACAGGAATCTTTCCAAATAATTTCTGAACACCAAAGTATTGACAAAATTGCCATTAGTAGACCAGAAACAAAAATAATAAATTTTGGCATTTTTTTCTTCTTTTCTATGCTAAGTTCTCAAAATTTAAATTACGTAGAAGTCTTCTGCTACTTTCTCCTCTCCCCTTCTTTCAGAAACTTGAAATGAACTGCCAACAGCCAAGTTTGCTGCTTTATTTTAATTTTCTACTAAGAAGCTAAAAACAATATATTCAAAATTCAGTTCCTATTAAACAGGATTTCAAAACTTACATTTCAAAATTTCTTAAATTTTCACAGTGTGAAACTGTGACATGAAACCCTTGAAAATACTGAAATTTCCCTCCAACAATTAAAGATTTTTTTCAGCATATTCCTACCTAATTTTCTAGCTAACATGGTACTGCTAAAGCAATAAGTGATTTAATTCTGCAATAAATTTCCTTTCACTAACCCTAATTTTTCCTTCCCTATGATACAAGCTGCTTCTTGCAGATGTTTTCAGAAATTAAAAATGTAACACTTAATGACCTCGAAACTCATAATTCTTCAGTCAGCGTGAAAATGTCTTTTTGACTGAAAACATTACTCACGTACAGAACTTTCCTAATTTAACTTCTAATTTATGTTCATATTTTAATTAAACTGGTATCTGTTTGAGCTGCTGGTGAAGAAAGATGATGCATTACAATGGTCTGCATTATTATATATGGCATTATCCAAAAATACAGCAAACAAACCAGTCTGTTAATTTGCAGCATGGTGTACTCCTGAGTACCTTCAAGTACTTTACTTTAAAAAAAGCTAAACCAAATAGTAATGCAGCACAGTATACATACCAAGTGCACAATGATTGATGGATAAAAAAATAAGGGAGAAAATGTTTATTTAAGAACATCTGAAGTATCTGCTGATTTCAGGGCTTCAAGTGTCAGCCCACCCATCTTTAGGAAATCCTCAGCCACTAGATATGACTTTGATGGGCTGAGATGGCTGACACCAGTCCAGGAGACACAGGGAGTGACTGGCAAGGTAGATTGGGGGTTCAGAACTTGTTTTCTTTGCCTTAACTAGTTCAGATGTGGTAATCAAGATACATTCTGTAATTCTGTTTTACAGAGGTTTAGGTAAATGCTAATCTACTAAATTAATGACAACAAAAAGGAACTTTCCCACATACATAATTAGAGCTTCTGAGATTTTTAGGCAGATCTTTAGTTATTTTGAGATCAAAACAATATATATAGATATACTAATAACAATAATTCCATGTTACAACAAAAGGTATTCACTGTCATAACAGTAGCATACTAAGGGTTGAACAAAAACCATGTTGAAAACTAATGAATTACTAAAGCATACTAATTTTCACCTGAATTCTCAACACCCTTATAAGTCCACGGCACATCAGGAAAATGTCTGCTTGAATGAACTCATTTTTAGAGAATTTAATCTCTTGTAGACATATATGAGGTGAACTTCTGTTCCCCCTCATCCCAGCCCTCTGCTCACAGGGTTACAAAACTAAGGTTTCCGCTACCAGCCTCAGTTGTCCACTCCATCCACATTCTAGTATTTTCCAAAGGACTTCTACTGAGTGCAAGAGCATCCATCCAGTTTTTGTAGTCTTTCAACCTGCCCTATTTTTAATATATGTCTGCTCCTCCTGGGAACATCAAATAGTTTATGCATGACATTCAAGAAGGAGATCAAAACAGGACTACGATTCCACCTTGGAAAGTTGTAAGGGCTCCCCCATCTTATGGAGTCCCTCAGGATGTCTGGACCCATCTAGGGGCAAGAGATTGTCCTGTACTGATCTTTTCTCATTCACAGCAAAGGCACTCATTCCTAACAGATCCCTGTAGTTAGTCATCAGTCACAGACAGATATTCTGCAGGACACAGTGTCAATCAGATGTAAGGCTAGGGTTGGGAGTCTATTACTGAATATGATTTTTTAGGATTTTACATTACGTTTCATGCAGACCACTGCAAAATATTTTAAATTAGAGAATTTACCACATTGTATCATGCCACATCTCAAAAGGGAGTTATTAAATAGGGCATTTTTCTCCCCTTCCTATGCTTGCCATCTATTGAGGCAGTTACACTGATTAAATAGTCTGATGTTATGCTTAAAGTCCCATGAATTTCCTGGCTCCATGAAGTGCCTTTTTAAAACTGCATCATGAAAATAGCACGGGGAGAATTCTAAATGCAAAATACCCTTCAATTTATTTGCAGATAATCAAGTGTTCTTAATATTTATTTTCCTTATTAATTGTTCTCTAGACATTATTTACAACATTTTTTCCTCTGGAGATCCAGTATAACCAGGAAATAGAGATAAATCTTGATCAGACTCTATAGAAAAATCATCTCAAGTGAACAGTGGGCCATGCGTTTTTAGAGGGGATAGAGAGCAGCACTTACCCTGCTGACTTCTTTAGGAGCTGTTTCATCTAAAAGGAAACAAACCAAACAATTAGGCACTCTGGGAAGTTTCCAGACTGAATAAAGAACGAGATAGCAAACTTCAAATGATTTTTGAACACTTGTACAAAACTTTCCTAATATGGTTCAATCAAGTGATTGAAATATCCCAAGGCTGGCTTGCATTTACAATCTTTTAAAAGCTTCTAAAGCTAAAAAACAATTGAAATTAGAATAAAGTATTTAGGAATTCCATCCTGACTTAATAAGAATACAAAATTTCAAACATTTCAGAATTCAGAGGGAAGCTGGCACAGGCCAACTGAACACTAAATTTATATTTCAGTTAGTAAGGGTATTGTTAGTACTGCATAGACTGAGAATTAAAGGCCTTTGCTACCAAATGTATGTCACCAACATTGTACAAGGAAGCTAGTGAGCAGACTTATACCCTCTGTTCTAATATCAAAGATGCTAGTCCTGTTGACCTCTTTGGACACGGAAAAAAAGTCTTGTAGCCATAAGACAAGAAGAATATCACTGATGAGATCTGGCATAGCATGTTAAATCAGATTACAAGATTATATATATGCATATATATATGTGCACACAAACTATAGTGTTTTGTCCTTTCAAATGCAAACAGAATTTCATGCATTTTTGGTAAGCTTAATACATATAAATAAACAGAGGTACAATATCAGAGCTAAAACACTGAGTAGTACTTCTGAAAATGCAGGGAAAGCAGCTATACAGCAAGAACACATCTGCCGCAGGAAGAGTTTCCAACTTTCAGTTTAACCACACCAAAAGTAGCTTAAACACACCTTTACAAACCTCCAGTTGGTTAGTTGTTTCTGAAAATATGAAGAGAAGTATTTGTAACCTTTTATTTGATCCTAGGAGTCAAATTACTATACTTCGAAAATGAAAATTAAGTCAGGAAATAGATTTAATCTCACAGAAAATACCATATGATTATATTTGTCAAAGGCTCTTCATATCTTGCCATTTAAGGTGAATTTTTAAACAATAAAGGTAGAAACCCCCCATATTTTCTAGCCAACACATTCAATACACGATTTCTGATGAAAGAATTCTCTATAATACATATTTCCCCTCAAAATTCAGTGGTGCCAAGGAAAATAATATATTTCACAACTATAAGCGAATGAATATTAGTCTCCTCTTAATCCCAGTCAAATGATATGCCACTAATTTACACATGCAGAACACAGACAAACTTAATTTGATTATTTAAGGCAGTTCTGTTCCTCGCAGTGAAATGTGCAACACATGCTCTGCCACATTCAGTGATGTTATCTTCCTGAACCAGACAAATCTACACACCAGTTACAAGAACAGCCAGAGCTACACTCAAAATCCCTCTCTCCGATTACCTGATTTCTGACACTGAGCAACAGGAAATGTGAGCAACAGAAAACAGAGCGATGACATGACACTCTCCTTGGAGTGTACTCTTAGTTTTCAGTAACCAACGGATCAAACATTTCTTCAATCAGTGGTGACACTTTTCTGTTTAAAGGATGGGGTTTTCTTCCTCACACTTTTGTGGAGTACAAGGGGTGTTAGATTTTGTGTGGCTGATTATTAAACCTGAGTAACCAGTCTTTAGCATTCTCAAAATGCTATGAGCTCCACAGTTTAAATACATAACACCAGAAAAATTATTTCATTTTGAATCTGCACACTATGTATTTCATCTGATTCCCTCTATTGACCTTATCATGAAGCCTGTGATTCTACAGATCTCTAAAGCACATTGAAAAAAAAAAAAAAAAAACATTTCATACTTGGACTTCTATGCAAGCCTTTTAAAAAATAAAACAAAACAACAAAACAAAGGCCAATAAGTTTTTGACAATTGTAAAATGCTAAGCCAGAGCAGTCACAAAGAAAACTTTAATGCAAAGAAAGTTTTCAACATCTCAGCCATGATATTTTGAGGCATTTATCATGGACGCAATGATTCTAATGCCCAGTTAATTTTATCACAGAAACTCTTCTGCAAAAACAATATCGACTTTCTGCCTGGTCTTACACTGTTCTTTTTTTTCTGTGTAGTCAAATACTGCTGCTGGTACACTAATGTTGTTGATGACAGCAAAGAAATGCTTAGGATTAACTCTGTTTGAGATCCTAGATAGCTCTACAGTCACAACTTCCTAAGGAATGTTTTCCCACACAACAGATGTCCCATTGACCTAATAATTTTTCTTTTCAAAATTTGCTTTAGGCTTCAGATAATAAGACACAAGTTACTTGTAATGCAATTAGACCAGCAGATATATATTTGCTGGGTTTTTTTTTACCTTGAAAAATGTCATATACCTATAGATCAATAGAAATTCCACATCAGTTTGTGTAGATTGGTTAAAGACTGATCTCACCACCCTAAAATAAAGGTTTACTTAATCTCTGCAGTAGAATGGCATCAGTCAGATGAAATTGCTCAGTCTATTTTGATTGCAATTTGCGTCCTTATTTTAGGCATCTTGAATCTGGCAGCTCCACTGCATTTGTAGGATCTTTCAAAGATACCTCAGCTGAGAGTGGGTTTCCTAAAGCAGTAACTAGCACACATATGCAACAGAAATTTCAGCTCAAAAATGTCCTTGCTTCTTAACGCACAATCTCATTAATGGCACCTGAACACTGCTCCTGATTTTCAACAGTCTGGACTTACCTCACAATTCAGAAGCACTTGTGCTACTTCACAGAAAACTAATTTAGTTTGTTTAAACATAGGCCTAGACATTGAAGGGAAATATTCATTAGATTGATCACTGGTGGCACACTGTGTTTCTTTCCCTGAAGCAGGACAAAACATGAATTCTAGCTATTTTACATGAACAATAAGATCTACACTGTTACTTTTAAGTTCTCGAAAAAGGATGCTCAGTTCTTGCTCTTAAGTAACATGCATCAGACAATAAATAAGGTCTGAACCAAGACTTTACTGCAAATGGTAAACAGAGAAACATATTGTCTGCCAGGTGGCCTAAAATTTTAATTCACTCCTTCACATATAAGCAAACAGGGCACTACACACAATAGGATTCAGGACACTGCATTTGACTTCACTAGACATACCTAAATCAGGTAAATTTGGAAGCTTATTATTTTCTATGGTCTTAGCCCACACTAAACTGATGAAACAGTTGGAGCAATTTTGCAGGATGGCTTATTCTGGCTAGAAAACTTCCAAAAGGCATCTTCTGAAAGTATCACCAATCCTTGTGAGAACAGAAAAGCATGAGGAAGATCCAGGGTTTTTTTTCTTTTTTTCTTTCTTTTCTTCTTTCCAAAATTGCTTAGTACTACAAAACATACCGATGGATGGTAGCTCCACACGTATATATCCATGATCATAAAAATCCTCAACTGTAAAATGTATGCGGCAATTTCAACTAACCTAAGGAGGGCATTTCCACATCTGCTAAAAGCTCCATAAAATTCTATAGAAGTCTCTCAAGTTTAATACATCTCAGCAAAAATCATGTTGGAATCTGGGCTCTGACCATCAGGAAGAAACTTAATATTTTCCAGCAGTAAATATGCTTTACCAAGAAAGTGTATGATTGTGTTTTATAGTAATTAGCCAATGACTTCATATCCTATTCAACAGGGTTGTTGGATGACAAGAGTGTTAAACTGGTTAGCTCATCTATATTATCAGTCAGCGAGGTGCAATCACCATTTTTTATTCTGGAATATAGCCACAAGACAATGGGCTGAAGAGTGTGTAAAACAGTTTATAATTTTTTCATACTTACCAGTTTACAGCTTTATCTTTATGCCCATATCTACTGCTTTTCTTGTCTGACACACAATTCTGCCTGGCTTTCAGTCCACTAGCTGCACTACAGCTTTCTTTAAAACTGACTGCATGTTACGTTAGCATGTTTGGTGAAGGAAGACTCTCATCCAATTTCAATGTATCTAAGAAACAACATTATCGCTACTAATCTGTCCTCTCACTTTTGAATAGAGATGCCCCTTCACTCTTGAATATTTTTCAACTAGCAAATTCAAACTTCAAAATTGAAGTTTTATTGTGTTCAGCAGGTGTTTTCAAAGAGAAGGAAAATATTACATCCCTGTTGGCTCAGACATATACCTTAAGCAATTGCATTAAAATCAATAGAATTGCTACAGCATGCATTGGAAAACAGAAATGATTTTTTGTATTAAAAGTCATGGCATTCCTGTAATGTATAGTGATTCAGGGCTGAAAGAGATGATTAAAAGAGAACACAGCATGAAGCAGGTCCTACAAAGTTCCAGCAACGTGGAGAGAAAGACCCACTGGATCTTGTCGACTGCAAGACATTTGGATATTTTAAAAACATGCACACCTTCTGGACCCTCCTGGGCCTCTGGAGTTAGGCTTGTTTATTCCTAGACCATGAATACCTGTTACCAACTGATAAGATGCCTGGAGAACTTTAAGGAAAGGCACTTCCTCCTGCTTTCTCAACATCTAAATACAGCCCACACTTCACCCTGAGCCCAACAAGGCAAGGTGTTATGAGTAAAAAGTTATCTATTTTTTTTAAGGTTGCAGAGTTAAAACAAGCTGAACCAGTTGCTGTTAGGTTAGCTTCATTGTTGAGTTCTTCTTCAATTACCTGTTAATGGTTGGTGATTAGCCATTGTCCCCCTGATGCTGCCAGGGGTGACACCAGACCTGCAGGTACCAGGAGAAGGGTGTGACATCAGAGCTAGTAGGCAGATCAGAATGCATTTCACCAATTTTGAAACTTTCCAGGAAAAAAACCCTAAAAACAACGAGCCAACATAGAATTAAGAGACCTAAGTGATGTCTAAAGATGAGGAACTTAATCCAGTATCTGCTAAGATACTTTTTACTTCTCACCCTAACCTAAAGAGATATTAACTAGAGAGAGGACCTGAAATGTTAGACCAAAAAAGCGGAATCTCCTAATCTCCCATGAGGATGGAAGCCCAGCTCTGCCTGCAGACCAGCGGACACAGCTGCATCATC